ACGTGTTTCAAGTTAAGTTTGGGGATGGAGCATAAAAGAAACCCCACTTTATCAGTAGAAGGTTTAAACCCAGCAGTGGAGAAATGCCCCCTTTAAATAATGTATTATGCTTCAGACTGCCTGAGTAAAATTCACTTTGCTTCACCTCTGTATGTGTGTGTAAGTCACGCTTGCGAGTAAATTGGCAGGTGGGTCTATTTGTGAGTGTGTGTCCAGCTTACCTCGCAACATTCTCTTTAGCGACTTCAATATCTCTCAAAGACTGTGTTGTCAAGTTCCATTGTAGACACTTTGGCAGCGCAAGACTTGCTGGATCACAGATCTTGTCAGAGAAGTTGTCTTTACCCCTAAACGAACGACACGAACAAGGCACGTTTCACTTGAAATTACGGTATGCACTAACGAAACAATCAAATAAGTTGAAGATGAAATAATGTACATTATTATTATTGTAATATTCATCACAAGAAAGTAACTAAGATTACAGCGACTAGATACTCTGCCAAAGGTGTGATTAATGTTATATTGCTTAGATCTAATACTCAAACATTTTTGGCAGCACACAAATTTACTAATTTAGTTGTCACCTTAAAAGTGCTGTGCGACTGGTCATAACTTTTACACTCGTGCTGCACGTGTATCTTGGAAAATTCCCAAATAACGTTTTATGTTTACATGGAATATTTTACACACAAATTTTCCATCCTCACAAAAGTAAAGTGAAGAGTAAAATTATGAAACATTTCAGAAAAAAATTAGGCTACATGCACTTTTCAACGGCACTTTTCAATATCAATGAGTTTACGTCACAAAACAGGTTCAGTCATAGATCTTTTTTTTTTAGTTTAAGTTTATTGAAAGAGGATGTTTCGATCCGTTTCGCAACTCACATGACGCTGAATGCGTGCTCAACAGCACTACAAAGAGCAATGCCTTCCACCACCGAGTGCTCCATGTTCACGCCACACGTGCCGTCCTCAGCAACGATGAACTGTGGGAGGAAATCCGAGGTTCAGAATGGGTTTTAATGTAAGTTTGAGTCTGTATTTGTATGGGGGTATTTTTTGTTTGTTGCTTTGTTTTGTGACTGCAGTTCATAATATACGCATTTTGTTTCTTGTTTGTTTGTTTGTTTGCTTGTTTGCTTTTTATAGCAAATGCATGTATGTATGTGTATATACGTGTGTGTGTGTGTGTGTGTGTGTGT